ACGTCAGATCTAGGAAGAAGGCTCCAGAGTTGCTTCCAACACCGGCCTCGTACAAACAATACAGCTTATCATTCGCGTACAACAGGGAGCTGGAAGTTGCACTATTCCCAGTGGATAGCAGGCCAACGTGGTAAATGCGGTTCGTGTCTGTTAGCCACAGGTGAATCTCGCCCTTGCTGTCGTGTCTGGGATATTCCAGCTGGGTGAGGAGGATCACCTTCTTTCCGCCAATATTTGCAGTGATGAATCCACTCTGAATGTGGGGCACAGGAACTGGCACTGAGTTGCTCCACACGCGCGAGAGCGTCCCCAGAGCCTCCTTCCACGTGTTCCCCCTGTCAGTCGACTCATACACCCTTCGGCGACCGTAATTACATGAGGTGATCATGATGATTTTCCCAGCCTCCCATTCAAGGATACTGGGGTTGGTGCAGCCCGCATGTGTCGCGCTTTTCGCAAAGGTCCAGTGCGGTTGAACAGAACTCCAGTACATGACTGTGGACGCGGTTTCCCCTCCAAATGTCAGAAACTGCACGGGAAACACGAACGTGTTATCCGTCATTTTCGTGATGGGAGTACTGACATCGTTGAGGAAGCCAATCATGTCACCGTATTTATAGGGATAAGGAGGGCGAATGGTCATAGAGACGGAACTCATTGAAAAACCTCCGCTTCGTCCAGGCCCCGTCTCCAGAAAATGGATAACAGACTCCAACCCACTTCCCCGCTCATCGGCAAACCGAATTATGGCACCGTTCCGTAAGTCGTAGCCCTCCACAAAAGCAAAAAGCGGTCCGAAGGGTCCAAAAGACGACGGAAACGGCAACCAGTAAGGGCGTGCAGCAAAAGCGTCACGATCTTCTGGTCCCGCGTACGACCGCCACGTCCTCCCACCATCAACGCTGATCTGTGCCATCAACTGCATGGACGCACTCCCGCTCCCCACAGATCCATTGAACTGAGCTCCAACAATGGCCAGGAGCATCCCGTCCACATTCACAAGATGGGGATTGTGGAAAATGTGGCCAGCGGCCGCTGTGTTTGCGACTGGATACTCCCTTGGCAACTGCTCCAAACTGTGTCCTCCATAGGAATTGCCCACTCCCGTTCCATAGTTTTGGGGCTGCACTGACCCAGCGGCGCCGCACATCATAACGAAGAGGAGGAGCAGCACAGCGGAAGCAAACACACGCCGGGACATGTTGGGCCTCTGCGGCTCACTCTCTCTTCCTTCCCTCCTCCTGCCCCTGGATCCGGTCACGCGGCAACGGTTGTGTGTGCGGGGCGCCATGACTGCAGCAACACGTGAGAGCATGTAAATATGCGTGTGGACGGTGTGTGTGTGTGTTGTTGGAACTTTCAGAGCCTTCGAATTTCACAGTAGCGATTAGCGTTCGCTTGCTTTCTTTCCTAGCGTGTCTGTGTGCAAGAAATGGAAAGACAGCAACAGCGGCAATACATCAGACACGTCAGTGAGGAGCAGAGCAGAGCACCCACGCAAAGAGCGGGGCTCGAGAAAACCCGTAAGGAACAGCACGGAGAACCACCGCCCACAGCAAAGAGCAGCAACACGGCAAGTCACGGCGGGCCGTCGGTGTGTGCGGGCCAGCCCTCACGCGGTGCAACACGCCACACCCAGCAGAGAATGACAGACAGACAGAGAGAGAGAGATGAATGGATGCCGTCAAGAGGCACTTACAATCAACATGGCCCGTGAGCATGCGGCCACTCCACGCAGGAACACAGCAGGAGAAAAGAGGGAAAAGCAGGAAGCAGCACAAACACACGGAAGAAACAAACGACAGGCGGGAAAAGCAACGCCACGGTCCTCATCCTGGCCGGCAACTCCACACCAGCCCTCACACACACACACACACACACACACCATCGCAGTGCCGTCAGTCCGCGGGTGAGAGGATTCGGCCTCCACACAACAAACTCACACACCGCCAACAGTCACCCAACATGGACGAGAAGCGACACACCGCGCCACCGCCTCCAGTTAAATCCCACGGCCAACGGCATACGGCCACAGCCCGCTGCCGGCACACAGCACACAGCGAGCAATCACCCAAAGAGCCACACGCGGAAGCGGATCCTCACCATCCATGACGCGGCGACAAAATTTCCAGCCATTCCACCCACAATGGGACTCGGTGCCCAACTCAAAGAAGTCACAGGCGGTGCATCACGCCAACAGCAAAAGTGACTCGCGGTGCACGCTCCCTCTCTCCTCCTTCCCTTCATGCCCACGGAGGAAGCAGCAGCCACACGCAACCGCCAGCACACGCTACAAAAGAAGCATCCAAATCCACTGCAATGTGCGTCTTGTGCGAGCATGTGGTTGTGTGTGCCTGCAGACACACGAGGCAAAGAAGTAAAAACAGGCGCAGAGCATGTGAGGGGACGCACAAAAAAAAATGTACAGCAGAGGTGCATGGCAGAAATAAAAAGACTGCTCAGGCTCATGATACTGCACTGCAGACAAAGCAGCGGCAATTCATAGAAAATTTATTAAATTTTTTAAAAAATGATCTTCACCCTTCCACACCTCACACTTTGGAAACAATAAGAAAAAAAAAAAGAAAAATGTCGTCCTCTATTACGGCTACACACAAATAATAAAAAAGAAAGAAATACCACACAAAAAAAAATTTCACTGGTTACTGTGTGCGCCCACCAAACTGTTTGTATATTTTGCCCGCACATTAAAAATTGAATGTTTAAATATCTTTCAACCGTCCGACCCTCCATGTGTCCGCACAGCGTTTATATTTCATGGGGTCATCTGCGTGCTGCTGCTCCCCTCAGCCCTCTCATCGGCGTGCGAGTGCGGCCCGCAGAGCACAGTCACTCGTGTGTGTGGGGACTGAGAGAAGCACGCAGACATGACGGGAGTCGCGTCACTTCATCGGGAGAGTGAGCGCAGCAAAAAAAAAAAATCATCGCGGGAAAAGAAATGCTGACGGCACTGCCGGCGCGTGAAATAAAAGCAAAAAAATGAAAAAAAAAAACACGGCGGCAGGGTGCGGCTGTGTGTGTGGCGCTGCGGGTGTCTGCCCGCCCTGGCCGCAAAGAAAACAAGACAAGAGGGAAAGAAATGTGTGCTCCGCCCCACAGGCCCTCGTCGCACGCCCACACGTCACGGCTCCCTCAGCGCGCCGTTCGCCGAGGCCCCTCCTCATGCGTGCAGCAGGCGAGGCGCACAGGGCCGTCGTCACGAGCGTGTCGGTGGTGTGCGAGTGGAGCAGTTGGGCGGGAAACACACGGCACCCCTCGCAGGAAGAGTGCAGCAACAAACAATTAAAAGAGGGAAGAGTAGAAAAGAAAAAAAAGCCATAGTGATTGCCCTAAAGCAGCAAGAAAAAGAAGGGAAGTGATTTACAGAAAAGAAAACAAAAACAAGGAAAGCAAAAAGAAAAAGAAGAAAATGAAATTAACAAAATTCAGTGTTCAATGCTGGGATGCCGCTCAGTTGTTGCTCCACAGAATTTCGCAACTTTGCTCTCCCCAATTCATTCAACAGAGAGCCGCAATACTCCACAGCCCCAGAAGCAGCAGCAACAACACCCGAGACGCACACACATGCACGGTGCTGTCACCAATTAGATACATGGCCGCCAACTCGCCCAAATGCCCGTTCTCAGGCAAAATTTCAGTGTCCGAGGGTGTTGTTGCGTTGGACTCCGATGGGATCTCGGTTTCCCCGGGCGTGGTGTTTGTGTTGCCCGGTGCGGCGTCGACCGTCTGTGGCATCTCCTTGCCTTCTCCAGAAGAAACTTCGGCCCTCTCAGTCCAAGAGATGTTGTCGGTGTCCTCCGCAGATGTCGGTTCGGCGTCAATCCCTGAAGGAGTGGGGCTGCTGTCTGAGTTCATTTTTCCCTCGGAATTTCTTTCCCCCGCCTCGAGGCTGAGGCTTTCCTCCGCGCCGGTGGTTCCGGTTCCAGTGGGCCGCACGTCGTTGTTTTCAGCGGAAAGGTCAATGCTTTTCTGCACTTGGTGCCCACCGTACACTGGTCCGGCGGCCGTTTCCATACTCAACGACGCAGTCACTGGAGACGTTGATTTGCCACTCCTGTCATCCGCTTCTCCCTCCTCCTCTGGCATTTCTTCATCATTACTTTCAGAGGATCCTTCAACATCATTGAACTCCGTTAATAACTCTGGCTGTGGGTCTTGTGTCTGCACATCTGAACCCCGCTGCATCGATTTATTCTCTTCATTCGGCGTGTCTTGCCGGGCCGTTTCGCCCTGGTGAAGCTGGGTATTGTCATCTGAACGAGAATTCTCTGCGATCTCCATTGCGGTGGCGGGTTCAGGAACAGATGATCCCGCGACAACCGTGGAATGGGGCGCTGCAGGCACCAGATCATCGACGCTGTTTTCTCCTCGTTTTTCAGGATCATTCTCATTCAATTTCTCATGGCTGGTGGCGCTCCCTTCACTCCTTGACTCGGAAGCAACCAAAGCGTCCGTGTTGGCCGCCTGTTCTGTGGGTTGCTTCTCGACACCCAGTGATGGAATAGTGACTTTGCTGGCATTGAGTTTGCGCAGTTCATTTCCCAACAGTTCCTCGTTGTACAGCATGACGTTGGTCACCGTCACGTGGCCGCCCGTTGCACTTTGGTGCTTACTGTCCCCGCCGATGTAAAAGTGTGAGATCCTGCGTGAGTTGAACAGATTCGCATCATATCTCTTGTAGTGGATTTCCTTTCCATCTACAACGACAGTCCAAAAATCAGAATCCATTTGCAGTACCACCTGATACGTCTTGTTTGGCTCCCACCCATCGAAGAGCTTCAAAGTAGCACGTTTCTCCGGTATGGCCAGCCACTTCTTGTCGTGGGTGTACGACAGACCAAAAAGCACCGTGCTGTCAGTGTCATTCATCCTCACGCCAATCAAAGGAATGCTGCCACTCTCCGGCACCTCGTGGATGGACACCGTCGCCACAAGAGTGAACTTGTTGTTTGCAAAGTAGTACGGCACAGTCTGCCCCATGTCGCCAACGGGCCACTCCGCCCATGATCCTTTGAACGTCAATCCATTGGAAACCCTTCTCTCCCCATTCGTCACAGTTGCATTCACGCCGAGGTACTCGTCCCTCCACTCGGTCCCAGTTGAGTTACCAGACAAGAAGCCAACAAGCCTGTTAGTGGGAACAGGACCATTGCACATGTCCTTTCTGAGCGCGTCAACAGTGCCACTTGAACCGGAACGGCATGTTTTCAAGGCGCTGTCCAAATCCTTCCATGTCTTCACCACTTCCTTTACCCGCTCCAGTTTCTCGGTCAGACGCACAGCAACAAGATTGTATGATCCGTCACTCTTCTTGTTCTCGTACAGTGAAATCAACTCATTATTATTATCTTTTATCAACAGCGAGCTGGCGGCGGCGTCATCATTTTCACGGGATACCTGCCCAACATCATACACACGTGCCTTGTCCGTCACCCAAAGATGAAGCCGACCCTTTCCACATTTATTATCTTCCTTCGGATACACCGGCGCGGTGATGAGCATCACCTCCTTTCCCTCAATGATTGCGGTGGTGGATCCGCTCTGGACACCGTATCCCTTTCGATTGTGTGAGTTGCCCCACACGCGGTTAATTGGCTCACCCGACGTATACCAACTGACTCCATTCGGAGTGGACATGTAAACGTCATAGTAGCCTCCAGCACAATGAGCCATCATGAAGAGACTTTCGTCGTCTTTCTTTTCTTTCCACTTCACCAGGGTTGGATCCCTGCAGCCCTTACCAGGCGTCTCGGATGAAAGCTCCCATTTGTTCCCTGAATTGGGGAAACGCATAGAGAGCAAAACGTTCGTTCCATCCTTTTTTTTGGCCTGCATGGGAAACACAATCGCGCCGCCACGCATCACAGCACCCGATCCTCCGCCACCAATTAACTCGGTCAAGGAAAGAGATGCTCCTTTGCCTTGAGGCTCCACCACATGGGTCTCACTCCATTTGATTTTCTTCTTTCCATTTTCTTCAGTGGCAGTTCCCTTCACGAGTAAAAGACCCCGCTCATTCGTACCTTCAACCTGCGGCTTTGTATGGCTGTAGTTTCCCAGGAGCATGTAGACACTGTCCCCAATTACAAGCGTCGTTGGTCGCAACACTCCTGTTGTCCTAAAATTATTCGCAACAGTGTCCCCAAGTTGCATGCGAAACAAACTTAAATCCGACGTCGAAATATCCATTGAGTCATCACTTATATTCAGGTGCTTTGACACAATCCCAGCACAGCAGTCGGCTCCATTCCTTTCCCCGCACTGCGCTTCAGCAACAGCAAATACATCATCACCCACTTTAACGAGGCCAGGAACACGGAGCGAGGTGATTTTGCTTCCGGTCTCGTTAAACTCCATCCAATTAGCATCTATCCTTGTCGTCCCCTTAAACGGATCAACAGTATTCCTTGTTTCACTGCCCCCAGCGGCTGCAGCTCCACTGCCGCAGCACATCATCACGAGAAGAAGCAGCACCGTGGCAGTAAACACGCGCCGGGACATGTTGGGCCTCTGCGGCTCACTCTCTCTTCCTTCCCTCCTCCTGCCCCTGGATCCGGTCACGCGGCAACGGTTGTGTGTGCGGGGTGCCATGACTGCAGCAACACGTGAGAGCATGTAAATACGCGTGTGGACGGTGTGTGTGCGTGTGTTGTTGGAACTTTCAGAGCCTTCGAATTTCACAGTAGCGATTAGCGTTCGCTTGCTTTCTTTCCTAGCGTGTCTGTGTGCAAGAAATGGAAAGACAGCAACAGCGGCAATAAATCAGACACGTCAGTGAGGAGCAGAGCAGAGCACCCACGCAAAGAGCGGGGCTCGAGAAAACCCGTAAGGAACAGCACGGAGAACCACCGCCCACAGAAAAGAGCAGCAACACGGCAAGTCACGGCGGGCCGTCGGTGTGTGCGGGCCAGCCCTCACGCGGTGCAACACGCCACACCCAGCAGAGAATGACAGACAGACAGAGAGAGAGAGATGAATGGATGCCGTCGGGAGGCACTTACAATCAACATGGCCCGTGAGCATGCGGCCACTCCACGCAGGAACACAGCAAGAGAAAAGGGGGAAAAGCAGGAAGCAGCACAAACACACGGAAGAAACAAACGACAGGCGGGAAAAGCATCGCCACGGTCCTCATCCTGGCCGGCAACTCCACACCAGCCCTCACACACACACACACACCATCGCAGTGCCGTCAGTCCGCGGGTGAGAGGATTCGGCCTCCACACAACAAACTCACACACCGCCAACAGTCACCCAACATGGACGAGAAGCGACACACCGCGCCACCGCCTCCAGTTAAATCCCACGGCCAACGGCATACGGCCACAGCCCGCTGCCGGCACACAGCACACAGCGAGCAATCACCCAAAGAGCCACACGCGGAAGCGGATCCTCATCCAGCCATGACGCGGCGACAAAATTTCCAGCCATTCCACCCACAATGGGATTCGGTGCCTAACTCAAAGAAGTCACAGGCGGTGCATCACGCCAACAGCAAAAGTGACTCGCGGTGCACGCTCCCTCTCTCCTCCTTCCCTTCATGCCCACGGAGGAAGCAGCAGCCACACGCAACCGCCAGCACACGCTACAAAAGAAGCATCCAAATCCACTGCAATGTGCGTCCTGTGCGAGCATGTGGTTGTGTGTGCCTGCAGACACACGAAGCAAAGGAGTAAAAACAGGAGCAGAGCATGTGAGGGGACGCACAAAAAAAAATGTACAGCAGAGGTGCATGGCAGAAATAAAAAGACTGCTCAGGCTCATGATACTGCACTGCAGAAAAAGCAGCGGCAATTCATAGAAAATTTATTAAATTTTTTAAAAAATGATCTTCACCCTTCCACACCTCACACTTTGGAAACAATAAGAAAAAAAAAAAAGAAAAATGTCGTCCTCTATTACGGCTACACACAAATAATAATAATAAAAGAAATACCACACAAAAAAAAATTTCACTGGTTACTGTGTGCGCCCACCAAACTGTTTGTATATTTTGCCCGCACATTAAAAATTGAATGTTTAAATATCTTTCAACCGTCCGACCCTCCGTGTGTCCGCACAGCGTTTATATTTCATGGGGTCATCTGCGTGCTGCTGCTCCCCTCAGCCGTTTTATTGGTGCGTGAGTGTGGCCCGCAGAGCACAGTCACTCGTGTGTGTGGGGACTGAGAGAAGCACGCAGACATGACGGGAGTCGCGTCACTTCATCGGGAGAGTGAGCGCAGCAAAAAAAAAAAAGCAGGAGGGAAAGAAATGCTTACGAGGCCGACCCCGAAGGGCGTGCCAGCGCAAAAAAAAAAAAAAACACGCAAAGCAAGAAAAAAAAGTCAAAGTGAGCAAGTAAAATTACTTTTTTTTTAAAGCGGCAGGGCGTGGCTGTGTGTGTGTGCGTGGCGCTGCGGGTGTCTGCCAGTCCTGGCAGCAAACAAAACAAAACAAGAGGGAAAGAAATATGTGCTCCACCCCACAGGCCCTCGTCGCACGCCCACACGTCACGGCTCCCTCAGCGCGCCGTTCGTCGCGGCCCCTCCTCATGCGTGCAGCAGGCGAGGCGCACAGGGCCGTCGTCATGGGCGTGTCGGTGGTGTGCGAGTGGAGCAGTTGGGCGGGAAACACACGGCACCCCTCGCAGGAAGAGTGCCGCAGGAAACAATTAAAAGGGAATAGTAGAAAAGAAAAAAAATCCATAGTGATTGCCCCCGAAAGGAAAAAAAAGGGGGGAAAGAAAAAACAAACAAGAAAAAAAAGAATTTTTCTTTGCGGAGAGTAATTCATTACCGGATGGTGTCGGTGTGGAGGAGGTCGCAAGTGTCCCACACTGAGGCCGCACACTCCTCACAGAGCCGCAAACCCCCAGAGTCCCAACAGCAGAAAAAGCGGCGGCAGCAGCACCCTGCTCTCACGCATGGTGCCAGCAACGCCGTCATCCCGCTGCGACGAATTTCCGAGACTGCTTTTGAGTGCGAGGCCGAGTGCCGCAGCCTTTGCTTCCCCATCCTGTGGCTGGACATCTTCCTCTTTCCCATCAGCTCCTCCCGTCGTCTCCCCATTCTCACCAGAGCTCACGCCCCCCTCAGTTGCTACTGCGGGCTCTTCTTGCCCCTTGCTTTCAGCAGCATGTGATTTTAGATTTGCTGCGCCATTTGCTGCGTCGGAGATGCCCGCAGAGGCTTGGATTGGTTGATCCCCCTGCTTGTTATCGGCAACTTCTGTCCCCTCCGTTTGTGCAT